TTCCACCTGTTACACGTTGCCAATGGAAAAGCAATCTTTGGAAGATATTCCCCTTCTCCCAGATGTGAAACAGCAGTAAACACAGGCTCGCTGCTGATCAGAGCCCAGCTGCTTGTAGTGCTGATGGTGGTGGCATTGGCAGCAATGGTGGTGGTGACATCATGAGCCTCCTCACATGTTTCCTCCTGCATGGCCAAGATCTCCAGCATTTGGCTGCATGTACACTGGGAACACTGTGCACAGCTTTAGCCTGCCCTCTTCCATAAAAAGTAGCAATGGGCACCATGCTACCACCAGAAATGGCAGGAGGTGGTATTGCCACTTTTGCTTACAGCTGTGCTGGTGGTTCTAGGAGGTAAATCCTGGAACAGTTGTCGACATGCAGATACATGCTGTTTCCCAGGCTCATTAGCACCAGCACTCCTAACTCCCGTCTCCTCAGCTTTATTGGAGGTGAGGTGAGTTGAGCTGAGAGGACACAAAGACAGAATGGCTACTCATGTACAGAGCTCATTGCTCCTGCTCCAGCTCTCCCTCTCCTAGCAGCACTTCTAGTGCTCTTAGCTGAGGGGTTGCTGCTCATTTTTGATGACAGTAATGTATTAAACTAATATAGGCAAAAATGCCTGGTTTTAAACTTTTGGTAGCGGCAAACTACTAACAAAAACCACCAAATGAACCCCATAATAATTATAAAAGCAGAAACTGTAAATTATAAAAAAAACACCCAAAAAGAAAATCTCACACAAACCAAAAAACAAAAAAAATGCAGAAAATAACCAAAAGATGATACACTCACACACTACAACAGATCTAAACTAAAATGAACTGAAAATAACTACGGGTCGCAAATATATTCACTAATCTACAATGGGAAATCACATGACCGTGCCTGTAATGCAACCCTCAGCAGCTGAAAAAACCCTCTGATTGGTCAACCAACAGTCACATGTCCGGTTTAGTTTCTGTTTCAACGAAATTCAGGTTCAGAATCGAAATTCGGAAATTAAATTTTGGATTCATTTAAATGCATTGACATTCGGTTTTCGGATGCCTCCGAATGAACACATTTTCAGAAATTTGTACGAATTTCGATTCGTAATGAAACAAATTGCACATGTCTAATACAAGGATCATTTTTGCTAGAATCTTCCAATGTCTGCTAGTTATATGGAAGACTTTCTCAGATGCTTGGTGGTACTGAGAGACAAAAGGAATCCTAGGTTGTTGTTTAACTATACGATTACCAATTCCCATTTCACTTCTATCCCTCTGAGACATTGATAAACGTTCTACCAAAGACAAATTATATCCCCTAGCAATCAGTTTATCTTGCATTTGGAGCAATCTAAGGTGGTTATTCACTTAGCTGCCAAAGGCAGCCGAGTGAATAACCGAGCCGAAGTGAAGTGAGCCGAACGCTTCAGCCGTACATCGATAAAATCAGCCGTACAACGGCTGCCTTCGGTCAGCCAAACATGCTATGGATGTTCGGCTGAGCTGAAGTGCACAAGGATCTGGATCGGCTGAGCCGAAGCTCCGGCAGCTCATTCGCTGCCATTTGCCCCTATTCTCACAGGGTGAACAGAATAGCAATACAGTTAAATAGAAAAATTATTTTCAAAATGTAAAAAAGAAAAAAATTTAAAAAAATAAAAAAATTACGTATGCCGATCCAAAGGCACGCGACACACTCCCGCCGCATAATGAAGCATCTGACAGATCCCGGCAAAAGAAAAACAATTGGGTGGAGCTAGCGGTGACAGCTAGCTGTGCCCAACTGTTTCCTATTGGCCGGCACCTGCAAGAGTCTTCTAGCAGGTCCCGGCCAATGAATTACAACTGGATGGAGCCTCCCCAGTTGTTATTGTTTAATGACAGATCAGCGTCCCCAGGTCATTTGGGGATGCTGATCTGTCATTACAACTGGCGGAGTGAGCCGTGAGATCACGGCTGGCTCCGCCCAGCTGTCATTTGCGTGGAGAACGGCCAGCCCTTCGGCCGACCTTTCTCCATGTTTTGGCTGTCACTTTGGCTCAGTCGAGCCAAAGCATATGCCTTCGGCTCGGCTGCTGTACCGGCTATTGTGAATAGCCCATTCAGCAGCCCTGAACCGAAGGGCAGAGGCGGCTGAAGCGAGCCAAAGCTATGGCTGGATCCTTTGGCAATTTAGTGAATAACCCCCTAAGTTCCCTCCTCTCAGGGTTACTGGCAATCCAATTAACCCTTGCCATCTGACTCCATGGAACAGATTTTAATACTGTGGACAGATGAGTGCTGGAGTATAATAACAATTGATTACAATCAGTAGACTTGATGTAAAGATCTGTCTCTAATTTGCCATGAATTGTATATCTGTACAACCAAAAAATAACACTGTGTTCAACTTACGGTAAATTGAATGTTAAACAAGACATTGTTTGATTCAACTCAGATAAATAGCAAGAGGCGTACATAATAAACCACCTTCCTGCTCCTATCAGTGGTGGGGACATAGAATCTTCTAGAATGTATTTCGCGTAGCATGACCACACAAAATACAAAAACATCCTATATACCCTATAGTATTTAAGAATGCGCATCACTGGATAATAAATGCGTGATGACATGTTTTCTAACACAATTGCTTGTCGGCGCATTCACGTTCATAAATCAGGCCCAGTATCTCGGCCTTCCTCATATCTCCTGCCTTCCAATCATTCACAATGCCTGCTGCTCAGACATATTAAGTAGGCCACCTCAATGAAGTACCTATTGTATATGCAGGACTGTTGCAGAGAGAACACCAGTATAGGTAATGAACTGAGAATCTCCGTTACTTGGCTAACTGGAGAGCTGTTTCGGATTTCCATATGTGGCCTGAATCTAAAAGAAATTTTCAGTTTTCTGGGTTCTCACAGGCAGAACTCCAGTATAAACTGCAAAAACCTGCACTTCTTCACTGACTGGGGAGACCTCATGGATTTAAATTATGCAGCCTAAATCTTCCAGCAGTTGTTGATAGCAGAACATTTTCTGAATGAACAAAGAACAGCAGAGCTGGAGAAAGCACATCCATGATCCTAAGGACACCAGCAAAAAACTAAAGCATGTTGGTTGTAGGTGGGATATTCACCTGTGACTAACAGGTTTTTTGGGGGGGGTTTTGCCAGTGTCCATTTTTCCTGTAGGCAGAAGTATCCCCAACACTTTCCGTGTGGATGAGAAAGAAAGAGTTTTACCTGTCAAAGGATTTTGTAATTCTTTTCAGCCAGTATTCTGATCAGTCACCCAGGAAAGCGATGGCAAACCCTAAACCTCCCTGCAGCCAAACATTAGACCTTCCTACATATGCAATACAGCCAAGTCCAGGACCTGACCCAGTCTGACTAAAGAAGGAGGGAAAAGCAGCTTTCTCTGCAGAGAGGTTCTGCTTTTCCCTGCAGACACGCTGTGTGATTAAAAGGACTGCACAAAGCAAAAGAACTCTTACTGGCTCAGACTTTTTTTTGTCCAGACATCTCACCCTGTTCAATTTTCTTACAACTAGCCCATCATGCACAGACCAATGTAGTACACAATTAACGCTTGTCAGCACCACCACCTGGCCAATTTTCATTGATTGAAAGGACAGATTTTTTCGTTTGAGCATGTGCAGTTTTCATCTTGAGATTTTTGTTGTACAACAACGCCACTAACCTATACATTTTCGTCCAACCAGACAAACGTTTTCTAGCCTGCTTGAAAGACAAACATCTGCCAGTAGTACAGTAATTGAGGTTGTGCACTTCCCCTCAACTGGCAGATATTTGGATGAAAACGCAATCGCAGACAAAAATCTCCAGATATTTATAAGGTGTATGGGCACTTTTATAGCTGTTCTGCAAAGTTTGGATCTGATAGAAAAACAAATTCAGGCACTTACTGTGTGCTAGTTCAAATCAACGTTCATTTTATATATATTGCTTCTGACCTGAAGAAGAGAGGTTCACTCTCGAAAGCTTGTCTTTTATATATTTTGTTAGTCCAATAAAAAAGGTATCATTGCACACTGCATATTATATTATATATATATAAAATGAACGTTGATTTGAACTAGCACACAGTGAGTACCTTGATTCTTTTTGTTATTATTTCCTGTCTGGAATTCAACTTTCAACATAATTCATAGACAAACATTCTGTTCTCCAATTGATGTATGATTTATCACACTTAAAATACAATTTTGTTCTACTCTCATGGTAAACTTCTTAGGCACTTTGAATAGATTTTAATGCTAATACTATTTTTAGCATTGCTTCAGGCTCACTTGTGAGAAAAAAAGATCTCAAGCCAACATTCCATTTCAATGTATTTTTAAGTACACAATGTAAAGTGCCCATACACTGCACGATTCTCGTGCGAGAATCGCTGGAAATCCTGCGATCGTACGAGAATCGTGCAGTGTGAATGAAGACGTGCGACCGTTTCTACTGTACGGTTGCATGTCTTTTGTCTAAAGAGCATGCAAGAAAACCAGCCGAAAATCTTACGATTTTCGGCTGGTTTGAATGATGCTCGGGAGACAAATGCCGAATGGGCCGGTGTGCGCAGGCGCACACTGCCCGTTCAGCATTGCGATCGCCCCTCAGGGGGGCGGGCTTGCGATGATCATAAGTACGATCTGCCTGTCCAAGATGGGCAGATCGTACGTTTTTTTAAATTACTTTACAACCATCGCAAGACAAAGGTCTTGCGATGGTTGTAAAGTGTATGGCCACCTTTAGTCTATAAACTCCCAGTGCATAGTAATCATCCACAGCCTTTTTCTCCACTTAATTAAGCTTGATCACACAGAAGGCAGCTCCACAAGGCAGGGAACCTTCATATCCATACATGAAAAAAACAACAAAAGAGCGCCCGCTCCATGAGAAGAATTGTTTATTTAAATAAGCTAATAAAAGTAATGTACTTTCAAGCAACATGTAAAACCAATTATGTCCAAAAGTTCAATTTTTAAGAACATATGTTTGTTTTTACAGATTTATCTTCATTCTGCTGGGTCCAGGAAATAAACTTAAAGCATATCATGAAATTGGACGAGCTATGGCTTCGTTACTTACTGATGAGGTAAACATTCAGTTTAAATTGGCAAACTTTTCTTTACAGGTAAAGCTGAAATAGTTTTGCAGTAGCAATAAACTAACATCAGAACAAGATGTTATATAATATTTTATTAAAATTGAGACTGCTTTTATGTTATTGGTAATTTAAAAAGGCAATTATTAGGCAAGGTGGGAAGCTTGTCATGGGTGGGTATCTGTAATAATGTAGTTGTTATGCCAGATGTGGGCTCTGCCAGATGTGGGCTCTGAAGTGTGCTGCTGGAACTTGCTCACCATCAAAACGTCTTCTCAGGCCCTACACCAACCACTCCACTATGGTATCATACAATGTCTCTCTCCTGGAGCAAACATCTTTCACCCAACGGTGCCTGTGCAGTTTTGGCAGGAACAAAGCTAGGGGAGGGCAGGGGTAGCATGTGCCTCGAGCACCACATTAGGAGGGTGCAACCCAGGCCCGTCTTTAATATTGATCGGACCCTGAGCAAACATTTTCTTGGGCCCCCCACCAAGAAAAAAAAAAATGTAAAACATAACATGATTGTATATCTGCCTGAAAATCTCACTCCATTTCTGTTCTGTCCTTCAATATATGTGAATAACATGATTGATAGAATTACAATGCATGATAGCAGAAAGCCATGATTAGACATAATTAACATGATTAGATAATCAGACTTAACAGAGACATGATTGTTGGTAATTTGACATGATACAGCGTTATTGAAGGTTTAACAGAGGAGGAGCCTAGTTTTCTCTCAACGTTTCCAGGAGAACTACCAGGGTTGCAGCGGTTACAGCTGGGACCTGGCTTGGGCACTCCACCACTGTCCTGAAATCATTAGTCTGTATTGTTTTAGAAAAACTGTCACATGACAATAAACAAAAATGTATCAGTACTCGTACTTGTAAGTACTCGGCAAGTACCACTACTCGTACTCGCAAAACTGGTATCTGTGCATCACTTTATTTATATTTATAAAAACGAAATCATACATTAAAACAGAGATGTAGAAATCCCAGGAGCTCCGTGTGCTCCTTGCAAATGACAGCTGCCTCCTAATTTTTGAACTTTTCTCTAGTGTAGTCTTGGAGCTCAAAAGTATCGGTACATGTACTCGTACTGAGTACTGTACTTGGTATCTGTGCAACCCTAATGTTAATTATGTCTAATCATGGCCTTCTACTATCATGCATTGTAATTATATCAATCATATTATTCACATATATATGAAGGACAGAACAGAAATGGAGTGAGCTTTTCAGGGAGATATACAAATTTCTCCTTTTTTATTTTCTCACCTACCTGCCTGTCAGTCAGTCCTCGCCTCGTGCCAGTCTGCCTCTTTTCGGATGTCCTGGACGTGAGTGAGGCACCTGTCCGCACAGCCTCACGTCCTCCAGGGAAGCCCGTGACATGTCACGCTATGCGGACGGGGGCGGAGCTACCTTTAGCATGCGATCGTGCAGATCGCATAGGACAATATGTTATGGCATTGCCGTATGCGGCCGCTGCCATAACGTATTATACTATGCGATCCGATCGGCAATTTTCTGCGGGCAGCGGGCTCAAGGGGCAGGTGCTTCGGGCCCCACAACCTTTATTGGGCCCGGGGCAAGTGCCCTCTTTGCCCTGCGTTAAAGACGGCCCTGGTGCAACCAACAGAGTGAGCAACTGACTAAATCAATGGTGGACCGCGGTGCAGATACGGACAGAGTAGCAGTTCTATCCAGACTGCAGTTGCCAACTAAGTTATGGCTGGCTGACTGTATCCACAGCCAGTCATAACCGAGCACAGGTGTAACGGTCTCACCTCTCCTCCGGTCCCGGCAGCTCCGTTGGAGACCCGGCGGCGTCATCCTAGGTGACGTCATCCGGCTCCTCCCCCTTCCTCTGTTTAAGTCGACGGCGGCACTTGCCTGGCGTTCGTTCAATGGTGTAGACGCCAGGCAAGTTCCTCCGCCGCACCCGCCCGAACTCTCCACACTGTTGGGCCGGACGAGTGCCCCTTCTCCCCTCTCCGGCCGTTTCCTCTCCTTGTCTCCTCCATGTCTTGCTGACTTCATGCTCCACGGACTCACACAGGCTCCCTTCTACCTACTGCCAAAGAAGGACTCCTCAACTCATTCCTCCAGCCTCCACTGGGTGGCACTGTGGCGCCTGAACTACCAAACAGCAAGTACTGCTCGTCAATTGTTGTTTTTTGTTGTAACTGATCTTCTAGCTGTTAAGCACGTGAACGGTTACTGTTGCAGGCCGTATAGTGTATCACAACTGCTACTCCTCTTTACTACTAAGTTACAGTGAATACTATCATTCCAACAGCTGTTGCGTGAGACTGCCTACGTGTCACATAAAATGTGTTACCCACCATATCTGCACATTCACTACGCCCTCCAACTACATCACTTGCTTTGAAGCTGAGATCCGCATGCCCCTCGGACTAGGCGGGCCTGGATTATTACAACAGGTCCCCATTCCTCTCCAGTCTTTGGCTGTTAGGAGCAGCTATATTTATTATTATTAGGTGGACAAGCACTGAAGTTGCAAGGACACCTATTGTTTTTGTTCTGATTATTATTATTTTTACTTGTCCAAGCAACAAAGTTGCAAAGGACACATTGATTGTTAAAATTATTATTATTTTTATTATTATTAGGTGGCCAAGCTACAAAGTGGCAAAGGACACCTATTAAGATTATTATTATTATTATTATTTTTATTATTCACCACTTTTTTCAAATGCCTGTAACTAGTGCTCTGTAAGTCAAAAACTCATGAAACTTTGCACAGTGGTAAAGCCCTGTGCTCTGCAAAGCTTATTATAATATAAAGGCCATAGGTCACATGATGTGGCAGCCATCTTGGTTTTTGTGACAATTTTTGTGAACTATTCAGAAACAGATGTACAACTTGCTGTGTGAGCTTATGTGAGAACCCGCACAGCCCACCTGAGACCCTTTAGACATCAGGTGGAGAACCCAGAGCAACAGAGTATGTAGCTTCATATTATTCTGCATTGCGCTGTGCAATGTATTGCTGGGATTTGTAGTCCTCTATAGCTGATGCTGTTCTGCATTGCTGTATAATGGTATTGCTGGGATTTGTAGTCCTCTATAGCTGATGGTAGTCATTATTGCTGGGATTTATAGTCCGCTATAGCTGATGGTATTCTGCATTGTTGTGTAATGTATTGCTGGGAATTGTAGTTCTCTAAAGCCAATGCCATTCTGCAATGCTGTACAATGTATTTCTGAGTTAGTGGCAGAACTACCAGGGTCGCAGCAGTCATGCACAGCCCTGACGAGGCATCCCTCCACTACCAGTGTGCTTTACATTTCCTAAACCGATAAATACATTCACACTACTGTTACATGGATGGCAAAAGTGGCAGACGGGCGGGGAGAAGGCGGGGGAAGAGGCAAAGCGGGAGGGGGGGGTCAAGTTGCCGCACCATGGGCCTCTGGGTTGTACTTGCCCCCTGGGCTAAAAGTTGCCAGTCAGCCCGAGTTCCGGAATGCCAATGTCGTCCCCTCCATCATATATTTTTTAAATGCCACACTCTTGTCTTTGATGTGTTGTTTTACTGTTTTATTTAGCCATGCAGGCTTAGTTATTAGGTGGCCAAGCAACGAAGTTGCAGGGACACCTATTGTATCTGTTAAGATTATTATTAGGTGGCCAAGCAACGAAGTTGCAAGGACACCAATTGTTTTGGTTAAAGGAGAACTATGGGGTTAGGGCTTTTCCCCACAGTTCTCCTTAGGGTAACGTGAGGACACAAACTAGCGTCCTCCCGTCACCCTAAGCTCAGTATACCGTGAGCTACATCTCGTGGTATACTGAGACGCCGCAGTATACCGCCAGCTACAGCTCGCGGTATACTGAGACGCCGCAGCTGAAGCGGATCCCGACAATTATGTCTGGATCCGCCCAGCTGCGTGAGTGACAGCTGGCTCTACCTATCTAGTGAAAAGCACTCACCTCATAGTTCTCCTTTAAGATTATTATAATTATTATTATTATGTGACCAAGCAACAAAGTTGCAAGGACACCTATTGTTATTGGTAAGATTATTATTAGGTGGACAAAGCAACGAAGTTGCAAGGACACCAATTGTTTCGGTTAAAGGAGAACTATGGGGTTAGGGCTTTTCCCCACAGTTCTCCTTAGGGTAACGTGAGGACACAAACTAGCATCCTCCCGTCACCCTAAGCTCAGTATACCGTGAGCTACATCTCGTGGTATACTGAGACGCCGCAGTATACCGCCAGCTACAGCTCGCGGTATACTGAGACGCCGCAGCTGCAGAGGAGCCCGACGAC